GCGCGGCCGCGGGCGGGCTGGGCGCGGCTGCTGCAGGACCCGCCGGGCCGCCGCCACAAGGGCCTCCACAAGAAGGGCCTGGGCAAGGGCTGCTTCGGGCTCAAGCTGGATCGCATCGGCGCCATGAGCGGCCTCGGATGCTGAGGGACCCCTGGCGGTGAGTGCGCGGCCGGGATGGGGCCGGGGGGCTGCGCTCCGGTACCGCGGGGGATGCGGAAGATGCACCGCCTTGCGAACGCGAGATGCCAGCGGACGGGACTGCAGGTGTTCATCCCGCTGAGCCTCGCAACCTCCGGCTTTGCTGGCGGGCAAAGAGGAGGACCCCAAAGTTGGCCCAAAGAAGGGTCAAGAAAACCCAACTGCTCCCGCAGCAGCTTAAACTGGATTCTCCCTAATTTGTAGTAGACCCGTAAGCTCTGGGGAGGAGGCAGGAGGAGCTCTGATGCAGCCACTTGTTCCTAGTTGCTCCCTGTGCTTGACACACTTAGGTGACCTATGGATAGGTGTTAGGAGGGCAGGGTACCCCCTGTGTGCCTGCAGTTGGAGAGTTAGCGAGGCTTCTGTCTCACATGCTCCAGTGCTTTCAGTTTAAGGAAAAACAATACACAAGTTTCCCAGGTGTCTTCTAGGTGTGGTGACAGCCATGAGTAGCACTTTCCTAACTGCAGCCTCGTATCCAAGCAAGTTATGGGAAACTGGGAGTTCTTTCCACGGTGCTTCACAGCCACTGGGTAGCAACCAATGGGCGAAGGAGTGTCACTTCACCAAAGTGATAGTTTGGGAAAAACATGGCAGTGCCTCCCCTGCCAGGTCTCCCTGCAGGTGCTGGGGACAGTGAGGCACCGTTCTGGCCTGGCCCTGCCAGCAGGACACACACAGATGAACTCACACTTCAGGAAGAACTCACCATTGCAGCCCAGGCCACTTCTTCCCATGGCACAGCACTGCTCCATTCACAGGGACATGCCCGGCCCTGCTGTGACCTAACTGGGCACAGAGGAGACTGGATCTAGCATCCTGCTGCTCTGCAGAGAGATGGGAATAGCACAGCCCAAAGATGCCTACAGGATGCCAGTGCTGGTCTATGGCCTGTCCTGGAGGGATGGGTGCTGTTTCTCTCCTCCCACATTTAGATACTCCTCAGTATTACCAAGTATTGCCAGCTCAGGGCTCCAAGAGGAACAACATACCCCATGTAGGCAGGTCACCCATCCTCTCTCACTAAACCCATCAGAACAAGAAAAAGAACTCCAATAGATACAAGGGCAGGAGGAGCAGAAGCTTCCCTCAGCCTCTCCTCTGAACACCAGCCAGAAAACAAAGGGTGCACTTCCCTCCTTGCTTTAGCACAACCAAGAAGCTCAGGAATGGCTTCTGCTGAGTCCAGCAGCCCCCAGCCTCAGGCCATGGTTACTTCAGGAGGGGTTCTGGCTGGGGATGGGTAAGGGGTGCTGCATGGCAAGTACTAATGGGCACTTTGCTCTTGTTTCTCGCAGGGCTTTGAATCTGTAGTCCACTTTTTCCTACAACACACGGCCAGGCACGGCCATCCCCCAGGCAACACCTAGAGAAGCAGAGACCCCCTTGGAACGGCAAAAGATGTGGCTGTGTTTTTCTTTTTTGGTACGAGGAGTCATGGCACCAACTGTTTTGGTTTTGTTATTTTTTTAACAAGTGCTCTCTATCTTATATATATTATATATACAAACACTCACCGAGACAAGGGACAGTGCTTTTCCAAGAGACTGATGAATCCAGCTGTATAAGGTTGCTGTTTGTAAATTCATGTCATGCATAAATGTATTTATGTTGTAAAGCTATTTATATATTGTTTATAAAGAGATATTTATAAAAAAATTATTTATGTAACTAAATGAAAAGTCAAGCATTGTAACATTTTTTGTCCTAAGTAGTTGAAAAACTTTAAAAAAAAAAAATCATTCCGTGTGGCATTTTGTAACCTGTTTTTATTTATCAAATTCACATACAATTTAAATGTTGGATTGATTGATTTTAACAGACCTAAAGAAGAAATTGTTCAGATGTTTTCAGAAAAGTCAGAAGTGAGAGAAAGGCCAGCTGATATTTTAAGCTTTGATCCCATATGCAAAAGTAAACTTGTGCCCAATCCTGTGATGCTTTGATGGACTGAATCCTGCCTGGCGCTGCAAGACTCTGCAGACTCCAGCTGAGCTCCTTGCAAGAGCACACGGCCTCAGGCAGCACATCCATGGCCTCAGGCAGCACATCCATGCCCAGATCCCAAATGGCACCCGTGGAAATGAGCCCACCATTGTTAACAGCCGAGCCCTGGATCGACAGCAGTGTGACAAGGGCAGCATCTGTCCTACACATGCTTTAACAGCTTCCAGTCCAAGCTTCAGCCCGTAACTACAGCTCTATCGCTGGTGCCGGATGGAGACGCCGTCCCTGCTGACAGCAACAAAAAGCTCACGCTGGATCTGGCCCCCGGCTGCGCTGGTGGGAGCAGAGCTTTGTGCTGGAGGCACTGCTATTCCAGGATCCAGAGGCCCACTAAGTGTCTTGTTGATATTCCCATTCACCAACCCTTTGCCACTAAGCTGTAAAGTCCCTTCCTCCAGCAGAGATTTATTTAACTGAGCCAGGGACAATATGTAGACAGACCAAAATATACTGAGAGCTGCCTTGTAAGGATTCATGGACACAGCTGTTGCTACAGCTTCTTGCTATGTAAAGTGCATGAAATAAATTGTTAAAATGACTCGGAGCTCTAAAGGAAACAGCAAGCGAGGGGGCGGGGAGTGCAGTAAACATGCAAACTCCTGCTTGAAGGCTCTTTGGTCTTATTCTTCAAAGAGGCCTTAGAAAAAAAAGAGAGTGGCAGGCACCCAGCCCAGCCGTGACAGGAGTCACAAATTATGCCCTGGCCATTGTAGTGGGCTGGGAAACAACGAGCATTATGTTCCGCTGGGCTCCGGTGCCTAGGACAGGGCAAAAAGAAAGTCACCAAGACCCAGAGGCAAAGCGATCCTTTTCCTTAGCAACCACCAGGAAACCATAGAAACCTCCAGCCAGACTCACCCCAGCTCTGACAGAACCCTGGGTGCACAGAACAAGAGGATTCATCCAGAAACCCAACAGCTCAATCATCAGTAGGGCACGTTTCTGACCTTGCATGAGCACAGCCTCCATCAGAGACAGGGATCCACTCGCAGCGCTCACAGGGTCCAGCTGGATGGGGAGCAGCAGCTGATGGACCACATTAGATGTTGCCTATGGAGAACAAAATCAAGACCCTGGCAGGGAGGGATGCAGGATGGGCATGTGGCAGCTCTCATAGGGAATGACAACTTACTGTCAGGGCTCTGTAAGGCAAGTACACCTGTGAAGGTTGCCCTTCCAGCTCCACACATCTTTATAAGAAAGAAGGGGCTATATCAGGAGCTCCTAAAGAGATGCCCATTAGACGGGACTGTCCACCCAGGAAACCTAAAGGACAATAAGGAATCGCTTACTGTGCAGGCTTTGCATAGCCAGGTCTGAACAGAGGAGTAAGAAGGCAGTGCTGCAGATCCCATTCAGGGTCCTGGTCCTTGAGCTTGAAGCCAGAGTAGTGACCATCACAGAGTGACAGGCTGGGACCAAGGTGGGGACAATTCCCCTTCCAGTTTTGGCTTTTTGCTGCAAGCCAGAGCTGAAATAAAAGCACCTGCCTGGTGACAGAGGGGTTGACCTCAACACAGTGGCAGTGACTCAGTCTCAAGAATTCAATCCACACAATTTGACCACCTGAGGCAGAACCTGAGATAAGGTTGGGAGATAGAAGAACACAGCCTGGGGTCATGTACAGTCTGGATTTCTGTTTCTCCACAGCAGCATTGTCCAAGAGAAAAAGCACAGCCCATAGCATGGGTCCCTTCTATCCACTGGGCTTCCTGGGAAAGAGCAAGTCCAAGGAAAGGGCAAAGCTGTATGGCAAAAAGCCATTAGCTTTGGCAGACAAGTGCAATCAGAGCTAGAGCTCCTGGTACAGAGGGAGAGGATAACAGCTTGGTTCCTAGCTTTGCTGCTTCTGGTCTGACCAGGGATAAGCCACCCTGTCCCTCAGGATATGGATTCACACCAGCACGACATGCCCATGCATGGTGGAGCTGATGTGCAAGAGGGAAGGCAGCACTAGGGGTGAAAGAACACTTGGGAAAGCTCAGATTCACTCAACCTCAGCACCTCCATGGCACAGCCAGATCAGTGGTCTGACAGGCAGAGAGTGGCCCTGGTAGCAGAGGTCGGTTCTCAGAGCCCTGATGTGCATTTTCCTGCTTCACTGGACAAGCAAGAATGGGAATCAGAAGTGGCTCATTAGAACACAGCACTCACCTGAAATGACCACAGCTGGGTCTCCCTGACAGGGGCTCAGTAGAGAACAAGGGCAGCAAGAAAGAGGGGCCACAGGAATCTAATTAAGAGGCAAGGAAGTATCTTGTGCAGCAAAAACAAATTCATCTCTCATCACTGCCTCCCCTGTGGGCCAGCTAGGTCAGATCCTCACAACATCCCATGAAGGGATCCATGGCCAGCGCTGGAAAACATCCCAGCCCAGACAGCCTAAGTAAACAACAGTTGTTCTGGATGAGAAGTGCAGCCTCAGGAGGTGGTACATGATATCCCAACCACAGTCTCAGACAATGGCCTTTAGCAGAGATGTGTTCACACACCTGGAAGTGAGGGAAGCAGGAGTCCCAGAGTTACCTGTCCGTACTCAGGTCAAATTAGCACTCAAGGGACCTACATATTTTCTGTTCACCACTAGCTGAATGAGCAGTAGCCATTTCAGCTTCCAAATGGGAACACTTGTGACATGACGTAGGAACAGCCGTGATTTCTCCTCTCCAGGAGCAATTCCTAGCAGGAATTGAGCCATAGGCTCCCAGCCTGAAAAAGCACACAGCTCTCTAGTGAAAAAGGACAAAGAGCTTCCTCCAGTGCTGTAGTACGAGTACCTGGCAAAGCCCAAACAGGCTGGAGCAAACCTTTGAGCACTCACAGTGGGGACACGTTGTTTTCTCATGTGTGGGAAACCAGTTCTGTTGCCCCAGCCCATATTGCATGTTTTTCCCTGGTACCATTCATGCACCTTTTTCCAGGTACTTATTGCTGAAGGGTTACAAAGCCCAGCTCAGGTGACAGCAAATCCCAAAGCTATGAAGAAAAAGAGAAGCCCAGAGTCCCAGAGCAAGAGAGCAAAGGAATTTTCCATCTGGAAAAGGACTTGAGGCATGGAGCAGGGACTGCCAGGGGCAGCAACACACACGCCCCTGCCACTTGCTCCAGGACTTCTCCAAGCTTGGGCTGCTTCCCTCAGAACGCAGAAAAACAAAGAGAAGGGATCACAGGGCAACTTCCAGAGGGAGCCTGCACCTGACACAAGCGTGAGTTAAAAACAAGAAGGGAATTGAATTCAGGCCCCTTCCTGTCAGTCAGCAACTAACCTTGTCAGAAGGGACGGCAGCACTAACCAAATCAGGCAATTCATTAGGTTGGGGCATGCAGCAAAAGCCCACGCTCTCTGGAGCAGAACTACAGTGAAAATCCAGGGTAATGAGTTGCAAGCTGCCTTTGTAAATGACACTTCTGCAGCAACTCTGGCAGGATGGGAAAAGAGCTAATAGGAAAATCATTAGGTAGCATCCCTTTGATATTGTTGAAAACTGCACAGGCTATGTTTCCTGCCCCCTCCATAATTAACCTGGTATATTACCCATAATACTCCAGGCTGATAGTCTCACAATGGACCACCTTATCTGCATCAGGGGAAAAGAAGGGTATGCTACTTAAAAGGAAGATGATTTCTGGAAAAGCTTAAAAGGTGTAAGATTTCCCCCCTATTGCACACGCTCATCCTCTTCAACTCCATCAGCAAACAACCTCTGCCCAACCAGGAGACCAAAACCTTGTCATAGTCAGCAGGCAGGAGTGAGGCTGTCCTGGGAAATGCAACTGCAGAGGAACTGATCTGCCCAAGGTTGCCCTCCGCAGCTGCAGCAGAGCTGGCTCTGTGCTCTGCCCCTTATTTACAACACCGTCCTTGTCCTTGACTTCCTTCATGCTACACCAGGCTACAGCCTGCGCCTCCTGAGATGCAGAAGAGCTCTGAGGAGCAATGCCTACCCACCTGGCTCGTCTGCCAGCAAGGAGAGGTGTCATCTCAGAGTCGTGATGTAAAAGGTACAGCATCACAGCTGGCAGGTGATCCTGAAGGAACTGGTGCCCTCTAACAGCTGCGAAGGTGACAATGAAACACCAAGATGTTACTTACTGCATCAGCACAGAGCAGCCTTAGGACTGTGCTAATCATGAGACAGTGAGTGAAACATGAGGGCTGGTGAGATAAACAGCATCTCTGGGAAGAGTCTCGAAGGTGAGAGAGCACTACTTCCAAACTTCATGTCCATGAAAATACAGCCTATGGTCAGACAAGCTCCAAATACTCACAAAGAGGCTTGTCCTTGATGGAGCCAGGCTTTGCTTACCCACCACAATCAGCTCTTCTAGAAACACAGGTATCATGTGTGATTAGGGCATTTCAAAAAACACCCTAATGATACAGGTTTCTTCCAAAGGCTCTTTGGAGATCTGGAGATGTGCAAGTGTGTCCCATCTTCTACTAGAATTACAGCAAGCAAAGACTACTGGCACAAATTCTTTTGTGCTCTGTGGGGAAATATGTATTTCAGGACTGTTAAATGACCTTATGGCATCCCATTACTGCCTGGAATTTCCAGTATGGATGTATGCATGTTCACTAGAGCAGGGACATCTTTTCTCATCAACAAGAAAGAACTGTGGTCACAGCTACCACACTCAGGCAATTTGCAGTGGGGCATGACATGAGATGTAGACACTGCACAAAGAAGCATCCATGCCTGTGGATTCATAGCCAGGGAGCAAAGTGCTGCTCTGCCCATTCCTTTGCCTGGCTGAGCAATCGGAGAGGGGAGTAGCACCATGGGGATGGCGAGAGGCAGGGGCAGGCCAGGCTAGGGGGTAAACACACACTCTCTTTACAGAGTACAATCACTTACCTCTGAGAGCTCTGTGGGAGGGCCAAACTTGAGGAACTATCAGCAAAATGTCAACAGTCCCTGAGACACAGACCTTCGCCATGGAGCAGAGTGAAACAGTGACATATTCCTAAAAACTCTGCCGAGAAATTCAATCAGACTGTCAGGCTAAAATTCCATATTAAGAATACAAGGTTGAAGTTACAAGTAGGAACTGAGATCTCTCTAAACTTTCATTTACCTTTCTTGATGACCCTGGGTTACTCTTTCAGATTACACAAAAATATGCCCTGAAGACTCAGGTTTTGGTTCCCTTGCATTAGGTCAGGTCTTACAGAGGACTTAGTGGGGTGGAAAAAAAACAACAGGAAACTTTGTGACCAGGTGCCTGAGATGGGGCTATCTCAATGTGTTGTATTTGTGGGGCAGGCTCTTAGATTTCTCAATTTCCCCATTATTTAGAATAATAAAGAGCAAGGTTGATTTTCTGCACTGCAGTTTGCAGCAGGTTCAGACAAAAAACAATTCCCAGCACCAACAACCCTACAAATGCACAAGTTTGGACTGTTTTACTGTGCAGGGGTGGGCTTTGTGTGGTTCCTACCTTAGCTGAACTCGTATAAATCTATGCAGAAGTGGAAGTTTAGGAAAAGTCTGATTTACCTATGTGATTTATGTTCTAATACAGCTATCAAAGATAATGGCACTGTTTCTTCTGTATTCCCTGCAAGGAATAAGTACAAGTCTGCTTCGCACATGCTGACCCAACACATTTTGCCCTCATAGGATAAGAACACTAAAACCAGAAATACCCTCTAGGGTCTGCATCCTTTTACATTCTTTCAGGAACTGAAAGATGTTCAGCAAAATTCACTTTTTGGGGCTGGTGGGAAAATGGCCATTTCTTTCTACCACTGTCTTCTGTAAAGAACAAAAACTTCACTTTCCCCAGGTTCACTATGGAGAGCAGCTATGCAGGTCCTACTCCTGTACACAATCCACAGAGAGAGACCTGCAAGCCTGAGAGTGGCTCCACAAGCATCCATAGGATTTCCTATGTCTGCACAAGACCAATTGCAGGACAGGTCTCAAATCTGAAGACAGAAGGGTCTGTCAGCATCACTGATTTTTCCTTCTGTTCTCAACACAAGAGTAAATTAGCATTCAACTTAGCTAAGAAGGTGAGAAGGGAAGTAAAAGAAGAGATTTCAATCTGAAACTTTTTTTTTTTTTTCTGTTAAAAACTGACATCAGCACTGCTTTATCATGTTCCAGAATTGCCTGATGTTAGCTGGTATCAACTGAGTCTCGGCAGGAATGCCAGGGACATTTGTTAGCATGAAGCAGAGCTTTAGGGCTAGGGCAGCCTACCAGCACTGCAATCAGCTGAGATCCTCTCTTCCATTTTCCAGCTCAGTGCCCAATTCCATATTAAACAAGCACTAGTACAAGTGGAGCTGCAGAACACAAAGCTAGACAATAAAGCCCTGAAGAGCAGAGGGAAGGCAGTTTCAATCCACTTTCTCTCCCTCTGGGTGGAAAAGGCAAACAAGTTCAATAGCTCAAAGTCTGTCCTGCTGCAATCTTGGAGCGAGCTGCAGATGGAGCATCCCATCGCTGCCATAAACCAAAGCAGGGCAGGATGCTCGCCCTGCACCAGGGAGCAGCATCCAGCAGTGCTCAGACAAGCTGTGCCTCCAGCAGGCACAGGCAATCCATGGAAGTTTGCATCAAATCTGCCTCTGCTCCCACTTCCCTCTCAACCCCATAGCTCCCTGGGCACTCCTCACTTGAAACTGCCCACAATTCAGCCCACACAACACTCCTCTGAGTTGCTGCCCTTCCTGTAGTCAGAGGGCATCAACACAGTCTTTATCTGTTGTTCTGAAACAGCACAGCACCTCCTGCATCCTTGCCTGTTAACAAACCTGCCTTCTGCTTCATTCCTGGAATAGCTTCTAACTCTTTCCTTCAAGCCAGATTCATTAACCAGCTGCTGCAGAGTTGTTTGCCTCCCCCAGGTACTCTGTGCATGTCATTTGTTAATGACTCATCTCAGCCTGGGCTCATTGCAGACATCCCCCACCTTTTGCAGCACCAAGCCCTTTGCTGGCACACCAGGAAAGCCAAACAGCCAAACAGCTTCATCCCCTCCAATACTCCAGTCCCTTCTCTGCCCTCTGTCACCATCAGACATAGGACAGCTCTTTATTCAAAGTGCTATTTCCTCCCTTGCTGCTTTGCTGATCAAAGGCAATGTGAACCAAAGTGTAAATAAGATCCTCACCCCCAGCCAGGCTTTGAGAACAGCAAAAACGTAAGAACTCAAAAACTTCCAACCACTAAAGAAGCTTCAGCAAACTAATGTGACTCCTGTAACTGGCAGGGAATAAACATCAAGGGTGCCAAGTATCTATTTCCCCACACTGTGGCTTGATGAGGAGCTAAAATGATTCCCAAAAGCATTTGTATTCCTCCTGCTACTTTGCAGGACTGATATTAAAAATGTAAAGAGGACCATAGAGCCTCTCCTCACTAGTCAAATCCAGTGAGGAACTGGATGACCAGCACATTACAGCTGTCCACACAGCAAGCCAGAAACAGATCCAGTCCATCACACAGACTTGGGGACACAAGGTCCACCAGCACTTTCCTGAGAAGCTGTCAGCTGAACACTGGGAGAAGCTGAAACAGGAGCTAATACTGCCACTGCTTGGGAAACAGTTCCCTTGAGTTAGTGGTGAAGGCTTCGTGCTCTGAGCTTATCCACTTAACATCCTTGTTGCATTTCAAGGTGGAGAGAGAGCTGGTAAAGAATCAGAAGCCTGACCACAATCAGAAATTTCTGGGACTTGACCCACAGGAAGCTGGAGGGAGGGTATTTAGATCTTCCTCTCCAGATTAAAGGCTGGTGTGCCTGCACTGCAGGAGAAGAAAAGGAGAGGGATTTACTTTCACAAGTGAGCAAGTCCTGTGACTGAGGACTGCAAACATGCAGATGGCAAAGAGTCCTGGTAGCAGTAAGAGGAAGGCACGTGCATTGCACAAGCAAATGCAGGTGACAGCTGGCTGCAGGACTGGAGCACTGTCACAGTCCTCTGCCTAAAGAGCTCCCCTGCCTGCTCAGGGAAAGAGCTTCTCTTTAGAGAAGTGAAATTCAGGGGCCAAAGTACAAAGCAGCACTCTGCTAGATGCAAAGGAAGGAGCTGACTGGCCTAGGAGCACAACTACAGACTTTCTACAACCAGGCATCAAAGCTGTTTAGGCTCACGATACGGGGCTCAGCTACCAGCTTTGCCACGGATCTTTCTGCACAAATCTGGACAAAGATGAACTACTGACAAAACATGAAGAGGCTTCCCTGTCTCCCAGATGCATCAGAAAGATCAGTCAGATCTTCAGTCAGCTTACACCAAGAATCAAATAAATGCGCAAGTGAACAAGTGCCATTGGACAACAAGCCTAAAACAGCCTCGAAGTCAAGACTCCAGACTCTGAGATTAAATCAGCATTTTTAATTTTTTTTCTAAAATGTGCTTTTTTTATGAATTGCTGTTCCAATGCTTCCCCCTTAAAAAAAACCCCACACCCTGCCAAACTAGGTGCAAATCACCTGAAGTAAGTTTGTAACAAATAAAAAAAAATAACCCATGAAACAAAGGCTGAAATGCTTTAGAATCACAACAATGTACAAAAGAAAAAAAAAAAAAAAAAAGGAGGAAAATACAACCTGAAAGTGTTCAAAATTCAGAAAGACTAGTCAAGTCCATTGCTTCAGCAAGGGGATGCTGCTGCGACCCCTGCCAGTGGGTCCTGGGCCACCAGCCTGCCTCGATGCCAAACAGGCTCCTCTCCCCACTGTCGCCAGCATCCAAGGAAGAGTGAATGCATTACCCTTTAAAGGTATCAATGGGGGAAACAACTCACAAGCAGCTCTGGGAGGTCACATCACATTCGGGAGGAACAGTTTCTAGCATGCCCCTAACCACCTGTGAGGTCTGTGTGGAAGAGCAGCCTTCTTCCTCCATATTGTACTGATGCCTCAGAGATGCAGAACAGTGCTTTAAATCTGTGAGAGATTAAAGGGCTTAGTAAGGGCAGTAAACAGACAGTTAAGTAAACAGCCCAGCACTGGAACTCATCTTCACAGAGAGAGGTAGTGTGAATTTCACCCCAGTTTAAAATAGACAGGGGTAGCGGAAAGGCTGAAGACTTCCATGTAAAGCAGTTCCTGACCTAGAAAACCTTCCTGCGCTCCCTTTGGGAATGAAAAGATCTGTGTTGATGGCTTCCTCGCTCCCAGCCTGGCTTTGGTAGCCACACTTCAACCCTGGGATTCAGATGCTTGCTATAGAAGTTCTCCCATGATCTGATTTAGTACAGCAGCTTCCTCAAGGTTAAGCAGCAATGAACTAGCTGGGAAGGAGCAAAACAGTCAACAGATATTTTGGTTTTTTCATGCCCCTTTTGGTTAGTCCCTTTCTTTAAAAGTCCCTCTTGACAGGACTAGAACAGGGACACCCTGAAAACTCATAGGAGCTGCACAGTGTAACTTAGCCAGGTGCTGCTAATTGGGAGCTGTTCAAACAGGGCTTTTACTTGCCAGCCGGGAAGGGACTGGCCCAGAACCCACTGAAAAAGGAGACACAGGCCCATTTTGCTCCTCCTGTTGTCACTCCTAACCAGCTGACATTTAGATGGTACGTTCTAGTGACGGCTGGAGACCAGCCCTTTGACTTTGGACATCTTCTTTGTGGGCTGCCTTTGTTCTGTGTGTGGAGGGCACTCTCGCTCTACCAGCTGCTGTTCCATCTCCTGTGCCGACGACGAGGCTGTAGCTTTTAATGTTTTCTTTATGTTTGTGACCTGGCCAAGAAGAGACAGTGAATCAGCACCTGCTTCTTCCTCCCCTCATCACAGACACTCTGTTCATAAACATATTGAAAAACCCCTGGAGTATAAGAGTGCAGATTATAAAAGAGACTCTCCCAGCAGTAACACACTCTGCACTGGAGTTTAATAAAGGTAATGTTTCATCCTCATTTACAGATAGAGCTGATAGTATTTCCAGTCTGGAATAATTAGGGATTACTTTTTTTCCCAAGAGACAATGGTACAATATTGTACCACCCATCTGGCTGGCTGGAGAGACCTACTACTGCCTTGGTGCAGAAGGGAGCCATCCTATCATTCTGTTGCCCCAAAGCATGAAGGGGAAAGGAGACAGTGAAAGAAAAATTTATTCTCAGGACACAACTCAAAAAGAGAAAATGCCATTTGGCCTAGCTGACTGCCTGAGACACAGGTATTTGCTAAAAAGCAGGAACAGAAATCGGTTTTGTGAGAAGCAGCAGTAATGTTTCTGCTACTCTGGCTGAAAAGGAGAGATACAGCACTAAGCATCATCCTCTATCCCCTGGAACTCTGTAGCGTTCACCACAAAAACTGTGAGCAAACCTTCAAAAAGCCCCAAGATTTGGGAGTAAGGTGTACCACTGCAAGCCAAAAGCATCTGGCAAAACAAATATGCTGTGGATGCCGATCAAGCCACCAAGCAGACGCAACATAAACCTGCAGGGATGATAACCCTTGACGCAGCGTCTCGGGAGGCCCATCCCCACCTTCCCAGCGGCCGGAGCCGAGGTTCGGGCGCAGGGCCGGGCTGGAGCGCGGGCTCGTGCTGCCACCTAACGGCGGGAGCGCGCCAGGGCTCGGGGGAGCTGCCGCGGGCACTTTTTGCAAAAACAATTGAGACTCCAGAAATTTTTAACTACATTTCCAGGTTTAACAAAAAGTGATTTTGACTTCCTGCCTGCCTTGTACGAAGGGAACAGAGTTGCAATGAAGATCTGTGGTAAAAGCCGTTTTCCTAATGAATCAATACAGGAAACCAGAATTAGTGCAGTCTCCTAGCCTAAATTTATGAAAAATTATCAAGGAAAGTTCAATTCTCCTGGATGTTTGATATTTGTGGTCTTACTAGCACTCACAAGCAGATGTGTTTTCTTTCTACCCCACACCTGATTTGCATGATTGCTAGCCACCTTCTGAGAGCTGTGACCATCAACCAGGCATTACCAGATTATTTCCTTCAGCAAACAAACATTTATCCAACAGCACAAAGGCCTGAGATGACTCTGTACCCACCTCCATCTCTACCTGCTGCTGAGTTCGGTGGTGGTTCTCTTTGTACTGGTTGGCTCTAAGTACTTGCTGCTCAATTCCTAAAAGAACTGCTTCACAGCCATCACACCTGCAAGATACAAACGATGTCAAACAGTGTTTACAAGTTCTCTCTAGAGCAGCTCAATCAGGCAGTCTGAAAAATCACACTCATCTAAAAGTTTAAGAGATTTTTAAATTTATACTTCCTGCTTAGAGTTGCAAAAGGCTGGCAAGAAAAAGCTTTGCTGTGTACTTGATGCATTTCTTAGCATTCTCTAGGGAGTCTGTGTCACTCTTACCATCAAAGAGTAAGTGCAGGTTCAATGCACTTTCATCTTCCTTTTCAGTCAGAATGACAGCTTAAACAGGATGCAACATAGTATTCAAATGTAAAATTTAAAATTAAAGAAGAAAAGTAATATTGAGATAATCCTCCTGCCTGTTAAGTGTCCAACGACAAGAGCACTGAAAAGTAAAAGCTCTCTCTTCATTATCAAGGGTTGCAGCACGAAGGGCAACAACTCCCCCCACAGAACCACGAGTTCAGTTTGGCACCCCTTTCTGCAAAGTCCTCAACTTCTCACTGTGGTTCTACCACTGTAAAAGCTACAGTGAGAGCAGAAGCTCACAGTGTGGTAGTTTGGCTTGATACATAATACAAATTGAATCCCAGATGGGATCTTGGAAAACTTGCCCAACAGACTCCTCCTCCAAGTGCCTACTTATAGTATAAGACTCCTGATTAATGGAACATGGTGAAATTGAGCCAGCACTTGAAATTCTGGGGGGAAAAACAGGACAAGCTATGTACAAGGAACAAGGAGGGCAGAGAGATTGCCTCACCATTCCTGGAGTGTTTTGACAATGTTACTGATGTCCTTCCTCTGAATGTCTCTGCCGATACAAAAATCCACTTCTAACACCTGGTTTCGTTGATCCAGCTTCCCTTGGATAATGTCTGTGTAAACTGCTTCAATAATGAGATCTTCCAGCTCCCTCAGATTCCTCATATCCAGGTCCTTCAGCAACACAGAATAGGGAATGCACTAAAAATAGCAAGACCAAGAGTAAGTTAACAGTCCTGGAGCCAAAATGAATGGCTAAGTCTCAGAAGGTCGAGACTCAAATGTTTATTGTATCCTACACTTTGATCTGCAGGTGCAGCAGTGACTGATCATGGCAGAACAAATGCTTTGGTAATTATAACTTTGGCAATTCCTGAAGCTTTGGTATAGCACATTCTAGAAGAAAAAAGGTAAATGGCATTGTAGAAGAAATCAAGAGTGTTGCTTCATTTTCTGTAGAACAAAAAGTCAGTGTTTTTAAGAATGATTCTTCATCTCCAGCAGTGAAAAAGCCATACAGTTTCCCAGACCTTCCTGACCAATCTGCACATCAGTTCAGGCACCCCCACACTTCACCCACCAAAGCCCACTAAATTAATATCCCAAATGCACCAGGAGAGAACACTGTACCCTACAGATACTTTCCCAGTACGGGATTTCTTTTGTGAGTACTCATGCAGTCTGACACAACTGCATTGCTCTGGAATGGATGCCGTTTTCTGAAACAAAACCAAGAGACAACAGCTGTCACACCCCACGCACTTTACCTTCATTCGGGAAGCCAGGCTTACGATCGTCAAGTGTTTCAGCTTGTTTTTCTGAGTCACTGTTAATTCAGGCAGGTTATCTTTGTTTGCTGTTAATGTCAAAAAGACAGGATTCAGGACTTTACTTTGAAAATTACATAATCCAGCCTGCAGAACTCCAAGCTAATTATGCTATGCTACACCCTGAAAGACTGAACACCTCCAGCTAATGTGGGTGCTAGCTGGTGAACAGAGTGCACTTCTGCTGCTGCTGACAAACTGGCACACCCAAGGAGAGAAGGGGGAAAGTTAAGAACAACTCGGCAATTCCATTCTTCTCTGCTTCTTTAGTAATTCTGGTTCAGAAATTAGAAGGTAATTCACAACTGGTGCCCTGGTGAAACAGCTGGTCAATGGCTTTGCTTCTACCAAGTAGTTTTTATTTCATTAACAAGCTGACAGAAAAAAGTCTTCCCCTTTCGCTGATCTGGTTTCAAATACAGCTGGTTTTATTTCTCTGAAGAGCTGCAAAATTTAAAGTGTAAAGTACCAGGCTGAGGAAGAGAGGAGAAATTATTAATCTAGATGGCCACACTGTCATTGTATTATATCCATGTGCTTCATGAATATTTAAAAAGAGAAAGGAAACTGGCAGCTCTCCAAAGCTAAAAATCTCTTTAAAATATCTACTTTAATGGAAATTAGTGTTTCATAGCCACTCAAATTCTTCCATCCATCCCATCTCATCCAATGCTCTACATTTTGACTGGTTTTGCCCCTTTCTTCACTAGAAAGGGAAGAATGAACTGTATTGTCACATGCTGTGACACAAGAGCCATGGACAGCAAACACATCCTCTAATCAGTCACAGAATTCACGAGGCTCATGTTGCTCCACAGACACTAGAATTTCCAGTCCTTGCACTTATAGATGCCACTGCTCCTTACAGGAACTAGATAGCTCATCCGCCACCCTGAGAACCAGCACTATGACAGAATTATTTGTCACACTCTATAATCGTCTAGATGAGGCTGCTACCCACAAATGAAGCATTAAATTGTAGCACAATGGAAGCATAAGCACCAGAGATAAAAGGACATTTCAACAGATACAAAGATGATTCACACACAGTCTTTCCAAAGCTGTATAAAAGTAATTATTTTGACTTGTATTCTAGCTAAGAAATTATTCATTTTATTTCAGCAATGCCGTCAGGGAATAAAAGGTTATCTCACAAACCATATAGGTTTTTATAAATAATGCAGAATAATTTTGTCTAAGTTTTCTGCAGTTTCCATAACTGGTGTCATCTAAATTTCCACAGACATATCTGAAATTTCCCTCTACATAGGTAAGTGGCCTATGAACATCAATGAATTCTGCTGCAGACCAATTCAACCCAGAGCTGCAGTCCCATCCAAACCAGTAGCACACCATAGTCTCTAACCGTTCCTTTCATTTTTAGCAAGTAAAAAGCACACATGACTCAGACCTCCTTATGGACAATTCTGCTAAGCAAGTTCTGTTCCTGGATGCTCTCACCCAGCCACACTACACCAGGCATCTAAGAAAGCAAAGAATTGCCTCTGACAATCCTAAAGGTCATCCCAGCCCCACATCTGCAAACAGGCAGCAGTCTCTTACCTACATAGTCCCGGTACGTTCCATATGCAAACAGGTTCAGCAGCTGGAAATAAGCAGCATTAGACCCCTCAGCAAGCTGGATGGGGAGAAAAGAAATGTCACAGAACATGGGCAACACAACCCTGATAGGCACCTTCTTCAGAGAATGGTTTACATCTGCACAGGACAAGCAGCACCCAGAAAAGCAATTATATCCCAAGCTGGACCCTTTCTAAGGCCTTAGGAGCAGGAAATTTCAGCAGTTTTAGAGTCAAGATGATCTAGCCATTTCTATGCACTGGATCTTAATTTCAGTTTGGACTGTCAACTGCTTTGTGTGACATCTTGAGATAAAAGAAAAAAGCAAACCTACAGGGCCAGCTCTTCTCATCAGATGATAAGCAGGCAATGGTGATGGCTGGTAAGGATCCTGTGAAAGCTAGGATAGCTTACCTGCAGAGCCAACACAGCTTCAAAGCAAAGCAAGCTGGGACACTAACTGGAGTGCATTTGAAGGTAACAGCTCTTTGCTTGCCTGCAAACACTTCACTGGAATAACAGCAGCACGAAGCACTGATTGTTATTGATTGTGTTTTAACACCATTAGCGGCACACAAATCCAGGCAAAAAACAGTACTTGTGACTTGATGCTAAATAACCATTGAGGTGCTTTTATGCATATTTAAGAGCATATTTGGAAAGCCAAACTTGCTGTACATTGTATTACTCCAGCTGCAGATACCCAACTTAGATTCCTGCATTGTAGTAGAGGCAGGGGCTGGCAAAGCATTCTCAGCAAAAGATCTGGAACTTGCTTTCCACCTTGGTTTGAAATGGTTTGGATTTGGTTACCACCCAGGCCTGATACACTAGACATCTGTTCACAAAGACTTTTGGAGAGCACTGAAGTTCTGCGTTCCAGGACAGTAAAGAAGTAGAAAGGGATTTTTTTCTTGTTGGCTGGCAAAGTGCCTTCTTAAAACTGCTACTGTGCTGCTGCCAGGTTTCTGCTAGGTTTTTTGTGTTAGCAATTGCCTTAAGGTAGCAAAGCTTTATATAGGTACTCTTTAACACCTAGCATATACAGGCAAAAGCAAAGTCAATCTCTTATTCAAAAACATCTCACAACCCAGGTAAGTTGCACCAGGCCTTCCTGGCACAGAATTTCACCCACAGGCTGCCTGTGGAAACTTCTGGGGATCCCTTATATTGCTAGTGCAGAAGGGGCATTAGAATAAAAACTCAACTCTTACCTCTTTCACATTTGTTAACTCCAACAGCTCTCCGAAGACATAAACCCCAGGAGCTTCCAGCACTTGATTTATAAGAGCAGTCAGAGCTGAGCCACTTGTTCCTTTGGCTAGTAAAATGAACTGCTCTAGAAGATTGCAGGACGGCTTCTGTTCTCCTGCCATTCTAGGTTTTCAATCTGTCAGTAAAAGAACATAATATTAACACATCCTCTCTCCTCTGCCGAGTTCTGCCTGGCAGGGGACCAGAAGGTGCTCAGCATAGCAACATTTCAGTGTCAACACAGCCAGGCTTTTCTTCAGCATTCAGGGGCCAGGCCAGAAACCCAACAGGTTCAACTGCCGATTTAGCTGGGGAGCAAGAATGACTCCCACAATTTCTAAGCAAAATTTCTGTCTGATCAGTTCCCTAAAAGGATCTGCTCTTGCAGATCCCCTCTTATTGGACAGGAGTTTAGATTTCATGCTGTTTTCAGAGTTTTCCTTCCAGTGTGATGCTGCCAAATTATGCCAACTGTAAAGATGCTTTTTGATACACTTGACTGACTTCCTCCTTCCTCATTACTCAGCTCCAAACTGTGTTTGCATCTAACATAATTCCCTATGAAGGACTGATGTGCACTCTATGCCCACACATCCCACCTTTTCCTTTGACTCTGGCTATTGATACAGTGTGTATCTATAACTCCCCTTGCTTTCTGAGCCCAAAAGGCAAAAAGAACTGCGGCCTGTAAGCAGCTCCCCAGTCTGCACTGTACAGTTCAAGTGCTTTGGGTTAACTGGAAAGCTTAAGTGATAAAAAATACCCTTTCTACAAAGACTCTATTTAAGTTCCTGTAAAGAGAGGTCTTTGTCTTTGTCTGCTGCCTGACATTTCTAGTGTGCATGCTGTCTCCCAGCACCAACATGTGCTTTTGAAATGTAAACCACTGTTTATTAACAAGTTCTACAAAATGAGCTGTTTGTTTACAAACAACTAAGACAAAACTTCCAAAGCACGTTATTCAGAAACCAAACAAAGAACTTAGCAGATAAGGGAGGTTTTGTATTACGCTTGTATGGGATAATTATCAAGCAGAGGGTATAACCTTGATGAAAACCAAACACCAGAGAATCTGTCTGGTTCTGTGTGACCCACATGGGCTGGGCCCACATCCACCCACAGGGGCTTCACTGTTTCACGGGGCCTAACCAAATTAAGGCTTGTGAAGGCATCACAGACAGCTTCCTGTATTAGTCAATGTTAAGAGTAATTAGAAGATTGTTAGCCATGTTACAGTTACTGTTTGTAAACCCCTTACCTTGTACCCCTGTCCCAAGTTGCTGTACCCTGTGTTTCTCGTTCCTTGTTCAGCCAGGCCCTGCCCCCACTGCTCCTAGACTCCCACATGGCAACATTGTACCCCCGCCCCAAGTTGCTGTACCTTGTTCAGCTGGACCCTGAGGAGGAGGATGACATAAGGACTTTTATGTAAACGAGAGAAACCAGAGACTCATGGGATGCATACAGACTGATAAAAAACCAGAGACAATGAGCCACACTAAAAGGAAGAAATAAAAACAGCACCACCGAAGGAGGAAGACCCAGAGGAGTCCTCTGCCTTTCCTCCAGGAGCTGACATAACCTAGAGGGGACTCGACTAGGATGACACTATAGACTACAAGGCCAAAAAAATGAGCATTCCTGCAGACTTTTGTGAGGATTGACTCTCTTACTCTGCTAACTCTGTCGTGTGCCAAAACCAATCTCCTCCTCCTTCGTGTGGAAATTGGGAGCAGTGGTGGTGTGAGTGACCCCTCGGGCCCCCATGCAAGCTGATCCTTATAATAAAGGCATTAAAAGAAGCTCTAGTCCGGATATCTCAGCCCTTGAAGTCTCTTTGGGGTTCCTTCCAGCAGAGGCACACATGCGGCCTTGGCTGAACAGCACCTCAGTTCTGACTGAGAAATCCCTGCAATACAGAACATTAAGTGTAGCTGCCTAACACATCAGTGTAGCTCACTCTGCTCACAGAGAGGACAATTTCCTCAGGAGAGAATACGGATTGACTGTGCTGGGAATGAGATTCAGATTTCACAGTTCTATTGTCCTCCCTCACAGGTAATCAAACCACACGCGGGTGTATGAGATTACAAAAGACTGGCTGGCTGTATCCATGCCCTGGTGGGAAAGGGATGCCAGCTGTCTGCCCTTTCCAAGTAAACGCTCGGACAATTGCTATTGCAATCCGTGTGCACAGCCATATCACCGGGAATACCTCGCTGCTTCCACAACCGACTTACCCCGGTGAGAAGTGACTGAAATACAGCAGACACTCCAACGTAGCTTGTCCAAAGGCTACAACAACCCAAGTAGGGGGACAAGCCGGGCTTCTCTCGCGGTCAGGCCTTTCTAAGGTAGCTCAGGGAGTTTTAGGGCGGGAAGCGGCCCGCAGACCCTGCAGCAGCAAGGCGAGGGTTTCCCGGCCCTCCGTTCCCCCCAGACCCCTGGCAGAGCCCTCGGGCTCCACCGAGCCCTGCTGCACGGGGTAATTTACTGGGGGTCCCTCGTCGCTGCCCCTGTTCCTGGGAGGCTTCTCCCAGCCCCGGCATTACCTCTCTGCTCCTGGCCTCCCGTCCCGCCGCTCCCGGCGCCGAACCCGCCGCGCCTCAGGCCGCCATGATGGCGGCGCCGGTGTCCGCACGCGGCTCCTTCCCCCCCGGAACGCGCGGGCCCCGCCGAACGTTCCGCCCGGTCCCGGGCGGCCGCAAGGACCGGGAAGCAGGAGCCGGCATCCCTGGGATACCGGGATGGGAACGGTGGGCTGGGCGTGCTGACACCTACAGAGCCATGGTGCAGCAGCCCATGGAGCAAATCTCACTTGCTTGTGCTGCATCAGCTGCTCCGCTGGGTCCCGAGCAGCTGTTTCAGTATAAGCAAATAAAATTCCTGCCTCTCTTTTTGGAGATACGAGGTCCTGTGGCAGCATCACAGAACTTTGCACCCCAAAATAACCCGTGCAAAGGGCTGCTGTTGTAAGGCCACTTCGTTATTAGAAGTGGGGCCATTATTAGATTGAATGGTTGCACGAGGCACTGGAACAGACTCCCCAGGGAAATGATCTCGGGGAGGGGACCCCAAACCTGGCAGAGCTCAAGAAGTATTTGGACAATACTCTCAGGCACACGGTGGGATTCTTGGGGCTGTCCTGGCACGGACAGGAGTTAGGCTCGATGATCCTTGTGAGTCCCTTCCCTTCAGAATAATATATATGATTCTACCAGCTGAGCCTCTCAGGCCAATCCTCCTGGGAAATACCAAGAGATGGAGTGAAGGTAGAACTGATTTTAAACTCCATAGAGAAATGGTTCATACTAACAATGAACCAAAGGGCAGAGCTCTGGCTGTGACATGGGGGAGCAGGGAGGGTACTGGGAGGGTCCCAGGGCATAGGTCAGGAGTCAAAAGACATTTGAAGGGGTACCAGAACAAGGGTGGAAACAAGAGGGAATTTGGGGTTGTTAACTTCCCCAAGGTTTGTAGGCTCATCCGTGCCATGTTGTGAATAAAATGTTCCTCTGTTAAAAATCCTTCAGCTGAGAGCAAAGTGCTTCTGACTTTCAGTCAGCAAAGTCCCTGAAGATCAAATCATGGACCAGCATGGTCAGGAGAGGGGAGCTTTCAAGGAATGAACATCAGAAACTATTAGGGAAACTGATGGGGCTTAGCCTGAGTCTCAGAGCCATCTATAGCAGGTCCCTAGGGTCCCATCATCCATCTGAGAAGGGGTGCCAGACAAGTGCAGAGCTGCAGGTGTTGGAATGCTGTTGTGACACTTTGGCCTTCAAAGCAAATTGGATGTAAAAAGCCAGGCTCTGCGCAACAAGGGAACTCAGCCAGGGCTATAACAAGCCAGTCAGTAATTTACTTAAGCCACACTTAGCTCTCATTTGCACAGGGAGGGAGAATTACCTCTTTAATCACATCCTAACCAGGCCCTTCCCCACGGTTCCTGTCATCCTGCAGACATGTTGCTGGAACAGCTGCCTTGGACAAGCAGTGTGTGGCCTCCTTTTTCCCAACACTTGCTAAAGCTTGAATTCCAGGCTGAAATAGAGATGGAAATATATGATTTCAAGCTATTTTCCATGGATTGGTTTTGCAATCTTTTGCTAGAACCTGTGGTTAAAAATCATCTGTTATCCCCATGTAAGTCAGCCAGGAGTCCCTGTCCTGATACCTCCCAACTGTTGACAGCCAGCCTGGCTGGCTGACCTGGACATTGGAGGACAGCGTCAGCTAAGCTCAGCTTTTGGGATGGATTTTTTTTTTTTAAGAGGAAAAATATGTGGCTGTCCAGCTGTCTCATTGCCTTTAAACAGCTATTTCAACCTCTTGCTCCACCCACGCAGCTCTCTGTGTGCCAGGAGATGTTAATCCATTTTATCTTTTAATGTTGGCATTATCTCTTGACTTACCCCACCTCTTCCCCTTGTGATTCTGCAATCCAGGTCCCTTTTAGGCAGCACATAATTCGCCTTATGTCCCCTTATTTCCCTGCACTGCCACAGTAATGTCCCCAAGCAGTGGGGTCCTGGACCCCCAGACTTTGAGGACACCTGACCTCACCAAGGAGAGGGCCAACATTGAAAATACTTTTGTTTCTTATCTTTCATTACTCACCTATGTGTGTTTCCACGACCCTTTATCCTTATTCACTGCAGCTGCCAGCACACACCTCCGGAGCTCGGTGGAGGGGAGCTCCCAGGCCCTACTGAAAAGTTTCCAAACTCTGTATTTCCCAGGACCCAGGGACTAAGCTGCTTGCTGGACTCTCATCTCAGCCAGGCAAGGAGTGATGTCTGGGTGGTTGTATATGTGAAGTTGTACAACCTCTTCCATCAAATGTGGGGTGGGATGAAGCCCTAGTTTACTAAACTATCTCTCAGTTATGCTGCTCTGCAGAAACACCAGCTCCTTTACCTGCACCTTGAGAGAACAGCTGCTGGAGAAGCAGAAAGCAGGCTAGAGGCACCATCTCACCTGCAATGGTATCTCAGAAGCAAGTGCCAGAGACGTGAAGGAAAAGTTTTCAGTTCCGAGTGGCACCAAGAGATAGAGGCATTTGCAGCAACTTCCTTGCAAGCAGATTTTTAAGATGATGTCTCAAGAGTGCTGTTTGTGTTAATGCAGCCCAAGGACTTTGAGAGATCACAGGGGTTTTGTCACTGTGAATTGTGCTGTCACGTGTTCTACTGCTGCTTGGCCCTGCACGGGCCACACGAGCTTCACACCTCAGCTATGAGCTCTTCTGTGATTTTGAAAAGTTCATGAATCAGAGGCCTGTGCCTCCCTGCACAGTAAGGCAAATTTGGGAATTCTGAGACTTGGTCTCAGAATGCAAAGGCTCCAACTCAAAACTCCACAAACATCCCTACCCCTGTGGTAGAGAAGCGCTTCAAAGCTGCAAGAGTTCCTTTCCATGAGATCCATTTGGTTTCTGGCTCCTTCATCTCTGAGGAGCCTGAACAGAGACAGAATAGAGTTCCTCGTGACTTCTGTAAACCAGTATGTCCTACTTCCACCTGGCAGGCTCATCCCTATATACAACCATTTGTTTCTGCCTTTTTCTTTTGTGCACTTTTGTCTTGCTTGCCTTTTCTCCTCATAAGTCTTTTCTCCTTGGTGATCTTTAGTCCCTCCTCCTTAGACAGCATGCAATTCCACAGCACAGCTAAAATCCAGGATGGACTCTTAATAAAACACAAATAAGTACTTGCACAGCTGACTGTGGCACTCTGCCCAGACTCAAAATGACCCCTTCATACACTTAAGCTGATGGTGGGAAATTGAGCATGGATCACATACATCAGGGAAATAAATGCTGCCTATTTTTATTATTAAGATCTCTTATTGGTGATACTGGCAGTGGCCTTGTCCTTATGCATTAAATGCAGCCTTTATTAATGCTCACATTCTCCACTTTTGTACAGTGGCCGATTTGGAAGCAAGTGGAGCCATGAGTGAGTGTACTGATGGCACCCTGACTGTTCACTGGTCCTCTTTTGAGAACTGCTGGCTTTATTTTTACCATGACTTAATGCTTTTATCAGTAGCATTCAGATTGTTAACAGAGGTTAATGTTAAAGAGCAGCCTGGCTCCCGGGACATGCCAACAAACCTGCGAGTCTTCCCCGCCACAATCAACTCTGCTACGCAAACATAAAGGCCATGAAGATGATTAGAGGGTAGTACACCTCTCCTATGAGGAAAGGCTGAAAGAATTTGCATTGTTCAGCCTGAAGAAGAGAAGGTTCCAAGGTGACCTTATTCAGGCCTTTCTGTACCTGAAGGCATCCTACAAGAAAGCTGTGGAGAAACTTTTTACAAGGAGATAGAGCTCTAGTGATAGAAGGAGGGGAGTGGCTTCAAAATGACAGAAGGCAGATTTAGATTAGGTATAAGGATGAAATTATTCACTGTGAGGGTGCTGAGGCACTGACATAGATTGCCGAACAAAGCTGTGGATGCTCTATCCCTGATGTGTTCACGGCCAGTCTGGATGGTCTTTAAGTCCCTTTCAACTCAAACTGCTCTGTGATTCAAGTTTCTGCAGCACAAAGAAGGCTGCCTTTGTTCCAGGGGGTAGCACGCTATTTATTTTAAACCTTCTCCACAATGCTGGTCCTGTTGGCTCCGGCCTCGGTACACGCAGAATCACAGAACTGTTAGGTTTGGGAGGGACCTCCGGCGATCATGCAGTCCAACCCCCTACCAACACAGTGTCATCTGGAGCAGACGACACACAACTCGTCCGGGTGGGTTTTGCAGGTCTCCAGCAGAAGCCGCTCTAGGTCTGAGCACCCAGGTCCCCAGCACCACCCTGGTCCAAGGCTGGAACTCCGCCGCGCAGCCCCAAAGACGAAACCTTGGGACACCCACTGCCTGGGGGGAAGCGCCTGCCGAGCTCCAGCGGCTCGGGGCCGTT